ATAAAAAACCAACTCTTTGAGCAGACCTGCTGTAATCTGACTTTCATACTACAGTCGACCCTCCAACAACACGGGTTTGAACTGCATGGGTCCACTTATACACGGATTTTTTTCAATAAACTCAGTACAGTACTGTAAATGTATCATCACTTCCTTATGACTTTCTTAACATTTCCTTTTTCTGTAGCTTACTTTATTGTAAGAAGACAGTGTATAATACATATCACATATACAGTATGGGTTTATCCGTAAGGCTTGTGGTCAACAGTAGGCTATTGGTAGTTAAGTTGTGGGGGAGTCAAATTTATACGTGGTTTTTCAACTTTGTGGGGGTCAGCAGCCCTGACCTCCAAGTTGTTCCAGGGTCAACTGTAACGGGACCACCCTGGCTGCAGTGTTGTGAACAAACTGAAGGAGCCAAGGTTACAAGCAAGGAGACCGTTCAGGAGGCTGATGCATTATCTAGGAAGACATGATGGTGCTTTATTTGATTTGATTTGATTTATTTATTTGAGACTGAGAGAGAGAGCACACACGGGAGGGTGTGGAGGGCAGAGGGAGAGGGAGAAGCAGGCTCCCTGCTGAGCAGGGAACCCAACACAGGGTTCAATTCCAGGACGGTAGAATCATGACCTGAACCAATGGCAGACGCTTAACCGACTGAGCCACCCAGGCGCCCCCCCCTTTTTTTTTTACTTTTTGGTCGTGGCTAGTAGATTTTTTTTTTAAGATTCTTTTTTGGTTTTGTTTTTGTTTTTTAAAGACTTTGTTTTTGGGGCGCCTGGGTGGCTCAGATGGTTAAGCGTCTGCCTTCGGCTCAGGTCATGATCCCAGGGTCCTGGGATCGAGCCCCACATCGGGCTCCTGGCTCAGCGGGGAGCCTGCTTCTCCCTCTCCTTCTGCCTCTCTCCCTGCTCATGCTTTCTCTTCTCTCTCTCTGTATCTCTGTGTCTCAAATGAATAAATAAAATCCTTAAAAAAATTTTAAAAAAAAGACTTTGTTTTTAAGTAATCTCCACACCCAATGTCAGGCTCAAACTTACAACCCTGAGATCATGAGTCGCATGCTCTACTGACTGAGCCAGCCAGGTGCCCCTTGGCAAATAGGAGATTTTAAATGATATATGTGGCTCACGTTCTATTTCTATTGTACAGCGCTGGTACAGATGGTATATAAAGTCATGAGCACTGAATAAGATGGATCCTCAAGGGCTAGAGGACTAGCTAGAGAAGAGGTCCAAAGACTGAGCCTTCAGGCATGCCAACATTGACACACATACATATGTCTCTGTGGGTGTGTTTATATAAATACATATATGGTGTATATATATAGTATATATACACACAGTCACCTTTTTTGAGCTATAATTGTAAACAATAAAGCACGTTACATATATGTATACGAATATATATGTATATACATGTAACCGTCCCCCCTCTATATTTTGTTTTAATTGTAGCTTAATCTGAAGGAGCCATTTTGAATAGATTCATTGGAGAAAAGGGAGGAATGCAAACATCCTGTTTTAGGACACATAGGTACTCTTTAATTCAGCTGCTTCGGAAATCATTACTATTTTGCTCTAGATAATTCAGCTTCTGAGTTTGTTTACATTCACTTGTAATTACTATAACTCTGTCTCGGTGAGATTCAGATCCTATGAGCTCCAGAAGACTCTGGTTTTGGTTTATTTTGTTTGTTTGCTGATAACTTTTCCTCTCAACCCCGGTATCCCTGGGGAGTGAGGAGGCCACTTGGGTCCGGCTGAACAGACTGTCCCTGCGTATCTCCAGGGGAGTGCCATTCACATAATTCAGGATGTGATGGGTGTTCTCTAGAATTGCTCAGCACGACAGCCCAGGCGGTGCAGGTATTTAATAAGTATTTTTTTTTTAAGATTTTATTTATTTATCTGAGAGAGAGGGAGACAGAGCACGAGAGGCGGGGAGGGTCAGAGGGAGAAGCAGACTCCCCGCTGAGCAGGGAGCCCGATGTGGGACTCGATCCCAGGACCCTGGGATCATGATCTGAGCTGAAGGCAGCCGCTTAACCGACTGAGCCACCCAGGCGCCCCTTAAGTATTTCTGAATGTCACAGAAACAGCACTCACTTAGGAGGATGATATGGTTCAGAACGATGTTTAGCTGGTCAATGCTGTCTAGGCACTAATGCCCTGACTATCGTGTTTTCCTTCTCCTGGTGATCTATGAACTTTCTGTAGTTTCTGGGCACAGCAAGCCATTTTGAAAAGGCATATTATCGGGCGCCTGGGTGGCTCAGTAATTAAGCATCTGCCTTCTGCTGGGGTCATGATCTCAGGGTCCTGGGATCGAGCCCTGAGTCGGGCTTCCTGCTTTGCGGGAAGACTGCTTCTCCCTCTCCCACTCCCCCTGCTTGTGTTCCTGCTCTGGCTGTGTCTCTCTGTCAAATAAATAAATAAAATCTTAGGAAAAAAAAAAAGAAAAGGCAGATTATCGCATAATAAGAACCACTATATGAATATGTTCCCTTAGACATCATTGTTCCCAACACTCTCTGGCTTCCTTGTCAGTCTCTTCAGTTATTTACTTTTTTGGCCACCGTATACACTCCAAACCTGCACACAGGAGCAGTTTATCAGGGGATGATTAACTTTAGACTTTCAGACTAAGGAAATTTCTGAAAACAGACAATATGTATAATGTTGCTACAGTTTTACAAGCACAATTTCTCTATTTTTTTTAAGATTTTATTTATTTATTTGAGAGAAAGAGAGCATGTGTGTGCATGGGAGGAGGGGCAGAGGGAGAGGGAGAGAGAATCCCAAGCAGACTTCGCACTTAGCGCGGAGCCCCACATGGGGCTCAATCTCATGACCCTGAGATCATGACCTGAGCCAAAATCCAGAGTCGGATGCTTAACCGACTGAGTCACCCAGGCGTCCCTCAATTTCTCTATTTTTAATTATGGAAAATGTTATATACAACATCCACAGAAGCAGAAAGAACAATATAATGAATCCTCATGTACCCATCACCCAGCTTCAATAGTTAGTGGCTTTTTGCCAATCTTGTTTCATTTACCCCCCCACCTTCTTTTGTGTGTGTGTGTGTGTGTGTGTGTGCTATTTTTTTATTTAGCTGAAATCCATATAACATACAGTTAACCATTTTTTAAATTAAAAAATTAATTCTGAGGGGCGCCTGGCTGGCTCAGTTGATAGAGCATGTGACTCTGGACCTCAGGGTCATCGAGTTCAAGCCCCATGTTGGGTATGGAGCCTACTTAAAAAAAAAATCAATTGTGATAAAAACCACATAATATAAAATTTACCCTCTTAACCATTTTTAAGTGTACCGTTGAGTAGTGTTAACTATATTCTCATTGTTGTGAAACAGATTTCTAGAAACTTCTTTATCTAGGAAAATTGAAACTCTGTACCCATTGAACAATTCTCCATTCCTTCCTCCTCACTCCGCAGCCCCTGACAACCACCTTTCTACTTTTTGTTCCCATAATTTTGACCACTCTAGATGTCTCAAATAAGTGGAGTCATACAGTACTTGTTTTTGTTTTTTTTTTTTAAGATTTTATTTATTTGACAGAGAGAGCACAAGCAGAGGAAGCAGCAGACAGAGGCAGAGGAAGAAGCAGACTCTCACGCTGAGCAGGGAGCCCAATGCGAGACCGGATGCCAGGACCCCGGGATCATGACCTGAGCCGAAGGCAGACGCTTCACCGACTGAGCCACCCAGGCGCCCCAGTACTTGTTTTTTTGTGACTGACTTATTTCACTCAGTTTAATGTATCAAGGTTCATCCACATTATAGCATGTGACAGGATTTCCTTCTTTTTTTTAAGGTTGAATAGTATTCTACAGTTAATCATTTAAAATGTACAATTTAGTACATTCATCACCACCTCTCTCTAGTTGCAAAACTTTTTCATCATCCCAGAAGAACATCTCATACTCGTTAAGTAATTACTCCGCATTCCCCCCTCCGCCACCCCCTGGCGACCTCTGCTTTCTGTCTCTATGGATTTGCCTTTTCTGGGTATTTCATATAAAAAGAGTCATACAGGGGCTCAGTTGGTTAAGCATCTGCCTCTGCTCAGGTCATGATCCCGGGACCCTGGGACTGAGCCCCGCATCAGGCTCCCTGCTCAGCGGGAAGTCTGCTTCTCCCTCTCCCTCTGCCCCTCCTCCCTGCTCGTGCTTTCTCTCTCTCTCTCAAATAAACAAATAAATCTTTTTTTAAAAAAAAAAAGAACCATACACTATTTGATCTTTTGTCTCTGGCTTCTTTCATTTAGCACAGTGTTTTCAATGCTCATCTAAGGTGTTATATGTATCAGTAATTCATTCCTTTTTATGGCTGAAAATATTTCATTATATGGCTAACCTGTAATTTTTTATCTGTTCATCTATTGATGGACATTTGGGTTGTTTCCATCTTTTGGCTATTACAAATAATGCTGCTCTAAACATTCATATACAAGTATCTATGTGGACATATTCTTTTATTTCTCTTGGATATATACCTAGGATTGGAATTGCTTGATCATATGGTGATTCTATGTGTTTTTTTTTTTTAAACTCTACACCCAATGTGAGGCTCAGATTCATGACCCTGAGATCAAGAGTCACATGCTCAGGGTGCCTGCGTGGCTCAGTCATTAAGCGTCTGCCTTCAGCTCAGGTCATGATCCCAGGGTCCTGGGGTCGAGGCCCGAGTCGGGCTCCCTGCTCGGCGGGAAGCCTGCTCCTCCCTCTCCCACTCCCCCTGCTTGTGTTCTCTCTCTCGCTGTGTCTCTCTCCGTCAAATAAATAAATAAAATCTTAAAAAAAAAAAGAGTCACATGCTCTACAGATAAAGCTAGTTATGTGCCCCTGTATGTTTAACTTGTTTTAGGAATTGCCAAATGTTTTTCTCCATAGCAGCTGCACCGTTTTATATTCCCACTAGCAATGTATGAGGATACTGATTTCTGCATGTTCTGGCCAGCACTTGTTACTTTCTTTTTTTTTTTGTAACCAAAACTTTAATCCCAAGGATTCTCACAAACATATTACAAATGACAGCATGAAAAAAAATAAATCTTGCACAGTAACTCAAAGTTTAGCTCTACAATGTACCCTTAAACTGGCAGACCGTTGGTATCTTGAGTAGTTTCAAATTACCAAATAGAGATTGTTACAAAGAGCTGTGTGTTCATATACAGCAATCACATAAGGAACTTATGACCTAAAGCAAAGATAAACTAACTTTCTTGCAACTTCCAGTTCTACACCAACTGGACACCCCTGCCCAATATGAAGACTAGTTGGTTCTTTTTTTTTTTTAAACCTCTAATCTAGTTTAACAGTGCAGCTTAATTTTTACCTGCTGGCTTGTGTTCACACCAGCTTTTAAAGACTGCTTCTTCAACTACAGCTGCATACTATTATCCCAGCTATGGAAAGACTTCGTTCAATTTTTGCCGGTTTTCATGATATTAAATGTCAAGCTTTAGCTGGGCAGGAGTTAGAGGTTTATTACCAGTCTATGTGAGACTAAACTTCAAACCAAATTCAATTTTGCTTAAGGGAACATTGTAAAGTAACAATTCTTGATATTACATGCCTCATATGATCCATTCAAATCATAGAGAATTACATCTTTGTCACTGTTCTGACACAAACAAATGTGAACAGCTAAAACATCTTAAAAATGCACCAAGCTTATGAAGTCTCAAACAAAACTTGAATTTTCTGTACATACTCCCGTCAAATGAAGTTATTTCCTGTACACCACTCCTCTTGCAAAATGGTCTTCTATTTCCTTTCATTTGACCTAGATCGGCTACGAGACCTAGAGAAGGATCGGGAAGGCTTGTGATTTCTCTCTCGAGACAGTGATCTCTCTCTCCTCCTATCTCTAGAAAGGGACCTGCTCCGGCTGCGGGAGAAGCTTCTCCGTCTTGGAGATCTGCGGCGAGGTGGAGGACTCCTTCTCCGATAATCATCTCGAGGGCGACGACCCCAAGACGGTGGTGGGCCACGATTTCGACTTCTCTTTTCACCATTCGAGAGTTCCACTCTTAACTTGGCAGCCACATAATGTTCTCCCATCTAGTTCTCGAACAGCATCGGCTGCATCTCGGGGATATTCAAATTCAACAAAAGCAAAGCCGGGAGGGTTTCTAGCAACCCACACACTTCGGAGTGGTCCATAATAGCCAAAAGCTCGTTCCAATTCAGTCTTGTTACCATTGTTTCCAAGATTACCTACATAAACCTTACAGTCCAATGGACAGGAATCACGATGCATTTCGAGATCTTGGGTTGGAAAGCGGATGCTCAAATCCACACACCCTCAGATGGGTCTTCCCGCTTCCCTCCCTGCCCGGCTCCCGCAACGCTCTCGCTGACCTGGCGTCCACGAAATGGCCCACTTGTTACTTTCTTTGTAGAAATGTCTATTCAAGTTCTGTGCCCATTTTTTAATTGGCTTGTTTGCCTTTTTCTTGTTGAAGTTTAAGAGTTCTTTGTATATTCTGGATACTAAACTCTTACTGCATATATAATTTGCAAATATGTTCCCCATTCTGTGGGTTTTTCTCTTTACCTTCTTGATGGTGTCCTTTGATGCACAAAAGTTTTTAATTTTTTTAAAAAGATTTTATTTATTTAAGAGAGAGAGTGAGTGAGAGAGAGCACAAGCAGTGGGGAGGGGCAGAGGTAGCAGGAGAAGCAGACTCCTCGCTGAACAGGCAGCCGGACCCGGGGCTCAATCCCAGGACCCCAGGATCATGACCCTAGCTGAAGGCAGATGCTTAACTGACTGAGCCACCCAGATGCCTCAAAAGTTTTTAATTTTGATCCAGTCTGATTTATCTATTTTTTTCTTTTGGGACTCATGCTTTTGGTATCAAATCTAAGAATCCATTGCCAAATCCCAAGTCATAAAGAAATACTCCTATGTTTTCTTCTAGAAGTCTTAGAGTTTTAGCTCTTATAATTAGATCATTGATTTATTTGAGTTAATTTTTATATATAGAGTGAGGTAGGGGACCAATTTCATTCTTTTGCATATGGAGATCTGGTTGTCCCAGGACCATTTGGTGAACAGGCCATTTTTCCCCCATTGAATGGTCTTGACACTTTCTGTGTGTGTGTGTTTTTTTAAGATTTTATTTCTTTATGAGAGAGAGTGGGGTTGGGAGGCAGAGGAAGAGGGAGAGAAACAATCTCAAGAAGACTCCTGGTGGAGTGCAGAGCCTGACACAGGGCTCGATCCCACGACCCCAAGATCAAGACCTGAGTGGAAATCAAGTCGGACACTTAACAGACTGAGCCACCCAGGTGCCCCAAGGGTTCAACTCTTGATTTCGGCTCAGGTCATGGGGCTCCACACTCCGTGGGGAGTCTGCTTGAGATTCTCTCCCTCTCCCTCTCCCTCCCCCCTGCTCGTGTGCCCTCTCTCTCAAATAAATAAATCAATCTTTAAAAAAGAAGACTCTGGCTTCCACTTGCTGGTAGTGTGTCACTGTCTGGTGTGCTCACTTTAATGAAACCAGCTGCCCTATGGAGAAGCCCATGTTGTAAAGAACTCAGGTCCTCAGTCCAGCAACCTGTGAGGATCCAAGCCTGGCGGCAGATCCTGACTCACCCCGACCCTGAGATGAGTGAGGCCTCAACGGAAACCCCAGTTACAGCCTGTGAGAGATCCTGGACCCACACCTTGATCACAAGCTAATGACAGACCCTCACCCAGAGGACCCAGCTAAGCAACACTCTGACCCCCGATCCCTTGTGGGATAATACATGTATGTTGTTGTAAGCTGCTCCATTTCGGAGTAATTTGTTGCAGGGCAAGAAATAACTATACAATGGATCTTGTAGGCCACTCTAAGTACAAACTGGGTAGAGGCGTTGATTAGAATCACCGACTGGTGTGTTACAAATAGATTCTAGGAGGGCATTGGGGGGATTACAGAGGGGCCAATTGAGAGGCTGTTAAAATAATGTAGGCAACAGATGCTGGCAGCTGGGACTAGGGTGGTATTGGTAGAGGTGGGGACAAGTGGTTGGATCTTGGATGTACTTTGAAGGCAGAGTCAACAGGATTTGCTATTGGGTTAGATTCAGGGTGTGTATGAAATATAAGAGACAATGCTAAGGTTTGTGGCCTAAACAACTAGTAAAGAACTGTCATATACTGAGATAGGAGAAATCTTAGAAGGACTAGATGTGTGGAGGAAGAATAGGAGTTAGGCTTGGGGCATGCTCAATTTGAGATACCAATGAGACATCCAAGCTGGGATGATGAAATGGATACATGAGTCGGGTGGTTGCAGCCAGGAATACAAATTTGAGAGTCTGCAGCATTTAAATGATAAAATGCGGGAGTCCCCTTGCTCCTCACTCCCACTTTCTACCCATGAGGCCCCCACTTTTGGCTCATGGATAGGGACATAGATACACATGCACATGTATTATTTTTTTTAAAGATTTTATTTTTAAGTAATCTCTACACCCAGCACGGGGTTAGAACTCACAACCCCGAGATCAAGAGTCGCACACTCTACCAACTGAGCCAGCCAGGTGCCCCTTCACATATATTATTTTTTTCACAAAAGGAATTGTTCTGCAACTTTTTTTTCTTAAGTACTCTCTACACCCAACATGGGGCTCAAATTCAAGACCCTGAAGATCAAGAGTCACATGCTCTACCAACTGAGCCAGTCAGGCACCCCCTCTGCAATTTGCATTTTACCAATATCTTTTGGAGCTTTTCCCATGTAAGTACATACATATATACCTCATTATTTTTTAATAACTGTAGAGAATTCCCTAGTATGAATGAATCACATATGCCCATTCATTCACTCAACAAATATTTTTTGAGCACCTACTATGCGCCAGGCACTGGTCTAGGGATTGAGGATAAAACAGTCCTTATGGATGGATATTTCAGTTATTTCTAATACTTTGCTATTATAAACACTGATACAATGAGCATCTCTCTGCAGGCATCTCAGTTCACCTGTGAGAGTTTTTGCTTGGCCTGAATTCATAGAAGCGGAATTTCTAGGTCAAAGGGTTCAAAGGCATTTTTAAAAAGATTTTATTTATTTGAGAGAAAAAGAGAGTGAACACAAGCTGGGGGCGGGGGTGTGTGGAGGGAGGAGAGGCAGAGGGAGAGGAAGAAGCAGACTCCCCCCAGAGGATGCTGGGATCATGACCTGAGCCGAAGGCCGACGTTTAACCGACTGAGCCACCCAGGCGCCCCGAAACTGAAGATATTTAATAAATGTGGAAAAGAGATCACCCAATATAATGCCCTATCGGAAGCTGTAGGATTGCCTCTACAATTTCCCTTTACTGTGTGAGTATTCGTGTCCAGGTCCTCCTCATCCTCAAGGTCCAGCTCAAACACCTCCTCCTTCAAGGAGCCTTCCATAGATCCTACTCGGATGTGAGCTCACCCACCTCTTAACCTCAAGCATGGTCTTTATTACATACTACCTTGTATCATAAATACATTCTTGTTGGGATGAGCACCGGGTGTTATATGTAAGGGATGAAACGCTAAATTCTACTCCTGAAACCAATACTACACTATATGTTCATAACTTGAATTTAAAAAACAACAGCAACAACAAAAAACCATTACCCAGGATTTTGTAGGCCCCCCACTGCTTTCATATATTTCCCTCAGGTGAAGCTCTTGAGCTCCAGAGAAAAATGTTCAAGTCCAGTGAAAATAAACCAGCAAAATAATGTGTTAAAAAATAAAATAAAATAGGGGCGCCTGGGTGGCTCAGTTGGTGAAGCGTCTGCCTTCGGCTCAGGTCATGATCCCGGGGTCCTGGGATCGAGCCCCGCGTCAGGCTCCCTGCTCGGCGGGGAGCCTGCTTCTCCCTCTCCCTCTGCCTGCTGCTCGGCCTACTTGCGTTCTCTATCTCTCTGTCAAATAAATAAATAAAATCTTTTTTAAAAAATAAAATAAAAACATTCTTTATTAGACGTTCATTCTTTTTCTTGAATGCATCCTGCATCCTCCCTCCGTGCATAGCACAATGCTCAGTGTTTATGTAACTAAACAGACGCTCTAAAGCGAAAAAGTGAAACCTATGGCCTCAGGAATGAGTGTGGAGCCCACAAGATGACCAGATGGTGTTTGCGAACCATCAGTTTAATGAATGCTCCTGACCGCTCACAAGGACCTGCAGAAACTGCCTACTTGTCAGGCTGCCTCTCATATCACCCCTTCTCCTTCTGTGTTCCCGCCACCCTGGCCTTTTTTTTTTTTTCCTGCCTTTGAATGCACTAAGTGGGCTCCCTTCTCCGGGCCTGGTACCTGTCGTTCCTTCTGGAGTGCTCTACTTCTTGGTCTGGGGGCTGCCTCTTTTCCCTCAAGACTCACCGCTGTTTTCACTTCCTCAAAAAGGCCTTCCGTGGCCATCTGTTCTAAATTAGGTCCCCAACTCCAGTTACTCTCTATCACGCGTCACCCCCTTAATTCTGGCGTACTATTCATTGCTTTCTGAAATTAACATGGCCCTTTGCTTGCCCTAGAACATAAGCTCCAGCAGAAGGGGAACAGTGCCTGTCGTTTCCAACTCTGTGCACTTTCAGTGACTACAACAGAGTCTGTAGGAGTAAGGACGCTTTTGGCTGAAAGTAACAGAATTTCAACTAAAAGTTGCATAAACCAAAAGGGTTTACTTTTATCATGTAAAAAGGAAATCGGAGGCAGGCAGTATTGGGGTTGGTTCAACAGGTCAATGCCATCCAGATTCTGGATTGGCTTCTCTTAGATAATCTTGGCCTTCCCTCATGGTTGTAAAATGGCTGCCAAGAGCAGATGCATCACAACACCCCTCTCAGAAAGAAAAGAAAACAAAGGTCTCCCTGCCCATCTCTTTTTATCAAGGGCGAAACGCTTTCTCGGGAGCCTTCCTCCCACACCGCTCTTTTATATTCCATTGGTGGAAACTGAATGGGAGTCAAGTCCATTCCTCCTAGTAAAGGAAAGTGAGAGTAACATGATTTTTTTTAACCAGTCCTAATTCATCGGGAGCGGGGCCTGCCTTCTCCAAGCCCTGTGACTCTGCCCTATAGCCAAAGCAAACCTGGGGTCTCTTAGCAAAGAGAAAGAATTATGGCGCTGTGCAGGTAATCAACAGTGTGGGCCACTCAGCCATCCATGGAATGTAGGGTGTGAATTTGTGCTGATCTACATGCATTCGACAGTGAACAAATTCTATAGACATACACTGTGCAAAGCCCAGTTTGGTGACACAGAGCCTCTACCTTTATAGGACTCCCAGGGAACAAGCCCTCTCGGACCCTCTATCTGCTTTATTGGGACTAATGGGATGGCTGCTGAAACAGATTTGCTGCTAGGAGACTTGGCCTTTTCCGGATTCAGGGAAACCATCATCC